GTTTTTCTGGCCAAGTTCCACCTCTTGATTGGTGTCCTTTCCTTCACTTATTTCATGAGTGACTATTATTTCCCTCTTCACAAAATCACCTGCAGTGATTCCTAGTTTACACCATAAGTGACTTTTATAGAGATACCATTCACAACATTAAATGAGCCATTTGTCACCTTGATTTTTTTCCTAATGTAACTCCATTGTCATTTAGATTTGACATTTCAGAGACTTGAACTTCAATGCACTGTACTACTCTTCAGAGTTGCCTAGGGACATGTGCTGAGCTGTGCTTTTCCCCCCATGATTCAAGGAAGAACATTATTCTTCTTTCTTTATTGCTCCAATCTTCTACTCTACACTTCCACAAATCACTATAATTTGTACTACACAGTACACTATCTGCACGAGGTGTCCTGTAGCAACTTTTGAAATGGCCTATAATACTATAAATCATTGTGCTATTTTGGCATAAAATGTTACTTAAGTAAATATCCATTTGTTGTGCATTTTTCCTCCAGAGAACTATTAGTCACATTTTACTGATCGGAAGAAAAGCCTATTGCCAGTTACATTTTTCCAGGGTTTGCTGTTGCTGCTGCTGCTGTTGTTTAAAACTGCCAGCAGAAAAGAAGCCAAACTCCATAAAATAATTTAAGAAATTTATTCTGAGCCAAGTATGAGGACCATGGCCCAGAGCTACACCCAAGAAGCCTTGATTGAGCAAGTGGACTGACTGTGTTTGGGTTACAGTTTGATTTTATACATTTCAGGGAGACAGGAATTACATGTAAAGTTATAAATCAGTACATGGAAGGTGCACATTGGTTTGGCCCAAAAAGGTGGGACATATCAAAGTGGGGAGGGGCTTATAGGTTATAGGTGGGTTTAAAGATTCTTTGATTTGTCATTGGTTAAAGAAGAAGCTTTGTCTAAAGGCTCAGAGTGTTTTAAGTTAAGGAAGTCTGCTAATCACAGACAAGCCACTGGCCATACAAACAGACTCAAGTGATCTGTGAAGTAAGTTGAGGACTGCAGGTGTGGTTTAAGCTTCAACTTGCATAGCCTTAGGCCTGTTAATGAGCTATGGAAGAAATCTCCAAGAAGGGAAGGGGCATGATGAGGCATGTCTGGCCCCCTTTCTCATGGCTAGCAACTCAGCTGTAGAGTATTTCTGGTGTCCCCTTGGCCAAGAGGGGGTCCACTCAGCCAGCTGGGGGGCAGGGTTCAGCATTTTATTTTAGTTCATAAAACTATATTTCAGTACTCATTAGGCACAGTATCTTTGAACAAAAAACATGCACAGACATTTATACATTAGTAAACCATAGATCACATGCTGATGGTAAAAGATAGCTGATGCTCATTTGAATATTTTTATTACTCAATATTGTGTCACATACCTGCAACAAACATAGAACAGATTTACAGACAACAGCAAATGGTTTAGTTGAAGCAAATCTCTGACTTTATTAGATCAAATGTAAGAAAGAAACAGCTATCCAGAAAAATCTAAACTGAAACACAGTTTTGAATCACATCAATTCTGATATTTTATCTATATCCTGTGATATATCGAATTGTCCTTCAAAATTGTGCATGATTCTTTTAAAAAAAAATCCTAGCTATTCTTCAGGGCTTGAAACTGCTGCTTCCTTTATCCACCACATCAGTCAAGGTTTGATCAGAAAAGCAAAACCACTAGGAGATGTATGGAATTGGGGATTTATGACAGGGATTTGAGCTTACACAGTGACACAATACAAATCCACCTCATCAACTCATTGCTCACTTTTTAAATTATTCAATTTCCATTTTTTCTCTAAACATATTAAAGGGAACTGCCAAATCACCATCCAAGATTCATTCAGAACAGGGTAATAATACAGTTCGAAATAGTATCTGCTGTAAGGGAAAATGCATTTTTATAGGCAATAGGTTTCTTAGGCCAAACTAAGATGACTGCTATAGTGTTTTTTTCAGCCCTGCCTCCCAGCTAGATGGCCTTACCGGGAGGCGTGAGTCGGAATACTCATGTAACCAAGGTGTTATCTTCTATGTGAACCCATGTGATCACGCTTTCCCGTGGCATGTTGCCACTATTGTTCAGAGCCATATATAAGTGTTCGCCATGTTCTCAGCCATGCTTTTCACCACTGCTGTATCCCCCCGACAATAAAGAGCATGTCTCACCTGCTCACTGCCAATCACTTTTCCTTCCAATTTCTGAAGCTTGTGCCAGAGCACGCACTAGTGAGTTCCCTCCTCACATCTGGATACCAACTCTATAGTTCTTCCAACTCCTCAATAAAGTAGTCATAAAAATACTTTAAAACACAAAATGTATAATATCAAAATTTAAGGTTGATAGACAACATAATGGCAAAACCTGAGAAAACTCTGTGAAAACTTTAAGGTATGTAGAATAGGATTTATAAGAATCCCATTTAGTCCTAACCCCCATTACTTCAGAAGGTGGCTGTTTTTTTTAAATAAGGTCGTTAAGGAGATAATCGAGTTAAAGTGAGGTCATTAATGTGGGCCCTACTCCAATATGAGTGGTGTCCTTATGGGAAGGATAAATTTAAACATATTAAAAAAAAAGAAGAAGTAAACATAGAAACAAATAGTCACAGAGGGAAAACAGTGTGAAGACACACAGGGAGAAAATGGCCAAGTGATGTACCTACAAGCCAAGGTAAACCAAGGATGGTGGGCAAAGAGCAGAAACTAGAAGCAAGGAAGGACTCTGCATGGTCCTGCCAACATGGTCCAATCAACACCTTGATTTTATACTTCCTGCCAAATGTCTATTGTTTTAAGCCACCTGTGTTGGGGTACTTTGTTACAGCAACCCTAGGAAACTAATTTCAAAGCATAAGAAGTATGCTTTATTTCAAAGCATAATTCATAACAGGGCTGTATTCCGGCTCTACACCCTATGCCACCCTATACCACTGGCGTTTGGTGTGCAAACTGCACTAGAAGCCCTTATGGGCACCCATCCCTGCTTGCAAATTCCTTCTGCTTTGCCTAATATGTGTGTGCTATAAAAACCTTTTGTCAATTCCACACCTTTTTTTTTCTCTCTCTCTTCTCTCTCTCAATTTCAATCTCTCTCTTTCTTTCTGTCTCTCTCTCTCTCTCTCTGTTTTTATTTTGTTTTGTTTCCCTCCTGCTTGACTCTCACCCTCAATTTGGCCCATTTCACAAGTAGCCCAATTCTGGAATCTCTCACCATCTCTGTCCTTAGTCCCCCTCTTAAGGATGTGCCACCTTGCATATCCACTGATTCTGTACACCACAGACCCAAGACACCACACTCATTCTTGTTTCCTCTCACCTGGTCCATACCTAGTCCAGAAAACAGAGTGATAGGGGAATAGACCACAATATACACTTTTTTCGGACAATTTAACTTACATTTTAGAGTATCAACACATTTTTTAAATTGTTCCCTTTTGTAGATGGAAGTCTTTCTGAAATATTAAGAGAAGTTGCCGAATAGATTTTTTTGGCTTGTTGATTCAAGATTATACCCAAGAACATCAATTATTATACTACAAGACTACAATAGTGCCTTAGGAAGATATTAAGGTGTATAAAGCTGTAAGAACCTATTAAATGAACTCATTATTTAATTTGGGAGAATTCTTTCTGATTTTAGTACTTTTTAAAAATCTTTTGTCGGTCGGGCAAGGTGGCTCACACCTGTAATCCTAACACTCTGGGAGGCTGAGGCAGGTGGATTGCTCAAGGTCAGGAGTTTGAAACCAGCCTGAGCAAGAGCAAGACCCCGTTTCTACTAAAAATAGAAAGAAATTAACTGGCCAACTAATATATATAGAAAAAATTAGCCGGGCATGGTGGCACATGTCTGTAGTCCCAGCTACTCGGGAGGCTGAGGCAGTAGGATTGCTTGAGCCCAGGAGTTTGAGGTTGCTGTGAGCTAGGCTGATGCCATGGCACTCACTTTAGCCTGGGCAACAAAGCGAGACTCTGCCTCAAAAAAAAAAAATAAAATAAAATAAAAATCTTTTGTCAATGTCTGGCATCTTGTTAATGTGGAAACTCTTTCATTCTAATTTGTTTCTTCTAACCAGTATTGTCCAAGGATAGCAGTTAAACTGTCTTATTAGCGTTATATTTGTGAACATGTAGATGCACTACCAGAATCCTCCTTTAAGGAAGGAACTGTTGCCCCAGCAAAAGATTTAGAGTCAGCGACAGAGTCCTGCCTCTTCCAAGGGCACACCATACTCAGAGGAGCTTATATCATGTGTGTGTGTGTGTGTGTGTGTGTGTGATATGATGTCATTATTCCAAATGACTTATTGGCTGCATAAGAAAAGAATTTGCCTAAGTATCCCCAAATCTCACCATAACCCTTGCTGTATTTCATTGTATTAATATTTGATGAAATCCACCTTTTCAAAGTATTATTTATTATTATTACATATTCTAAACATACCACATTGTTTTTCAACAGCAGGTTAGGGTATGTTTTTCTAAAATTCTCAAAACACTATCCTATGGATTTTATTTTTTAAGTTTTTAACTATTAACAATTTTTTGTAATTTATACATTTATTTAAAAAGTGTGTGGTTTTCTCATTAAGTAAGAATTAATTTTACTTTTGACTTAATTGGAAATTTAATAAAAAGTATGTTCATCATAATGTGACTCTTGCATCAGGTGATTTTTAGTCAATTCAACCAATTTAAATAACTTTCTATTATTTTTTTAAACTGGAAACTAGGGTTATGAGATTTATCTTTAAACTTAAATGTAGTTCCTTCTTGGACAATTAAAATGTGCCCTGACAACTTGCTGTCTTCTCTTTAGCCATGCTGCGGCTTCACAAGGGAATGGAGGGAGGCACTTGGCACCCATTGCTATGGTCCTATTGCACACAGATGCAGTAATATAAACCTACAACAATATTTCTCTTAAACTGTCACTAGTCAAAAAAAAAAAAAAAAGATCACTTACTCTTAAAACTTCTACACAACAGCTGCATGTAATCAGGTCTTAAGGTTTCTTGGATATGATGATGATGGCCATAAATATTTCAAAAGGGCTACATAGGCAGGAGAAAAATAAGTGGGTTTGTATTAGTGTAACAGAAGAAATGGTCTGAAAAAATGGCAAAAATATTTTCTGTCTCTTTAAAACATCCCCCACTCCTTTTTTTTTTTTTTTTTTTTTTTTTTTTTTTTTTTTTTGAGGCACTCCTTTTTGAGAACTAAAACACCTGCCTCAGGCCACTGGTTGGGAGATTCAGAGGAATGTCCTTTGATCTTAATGCTAGGCTATAAAAGATGGCTCAGCTGGAACTCTCCTGGGCTGGCAGAGATCTGGGCAGAGGTCACAAGATTGTTGTCCCCAGAGATGGGACACATCAGAATCATCAACTGTAGTTGAACAGCAATTGCCTGAAGCTGAATGGCCTCCCTTTAAAAACTCTGCATTTCAGCTTATTATTGGAAAATCTGGTACTTTGAGGCAGAAATCTGCCATTTGTCCTCATTTGCTGGCAAATTAATAAATTTCTCTTTCCTTTTCCCCCAACCACTTGTCCTTGTTCTTCTGACAGTTGCTGAGATTTTAGTAACATTAGCATTGGCCATTGCTAAGAACATATTAGAAGTATATGAATTATTTAAAAACCTTAAACAGATTCTCAATTTTATATTCACTTACCTCATATCAAATTATACTTATGGAATTGAAATCATAAGTTTGGAGCCCCAAATTTAGAATGCCATATATATTTTTAAGTTTTAAAAGCAAGTGCTATGGGGAAAATATCATGAAAATTCTTTTAAAAAAATACTTCAATGCTGTCTTGACTAAACATTGAAAAAGACTGTCAAACTGAACAGTTGACTGATGATGACCCTAGTTGAGATGTGTGAGCTTGGCTATATTTTCACAAGCATCAAAGTCATTCTGCAGTCTCTTGGTAAATTGTCAAATCTGTCTGGAAATGCTTTTAGGTTCCAGCTGTCTGTCTATTCATGAAAAGTTAAAAAACAAAAAAATACCAATAAACTTAAACAATTGAATTTGAGTTCTTATCAAAGAGAAGTCACTGTATATTTTTTTCTTTCCTAAGAGCATTTACCCTTTTAGTGAATGGCATGAATCACGCTCACTGCAACAGCAGCAAATTTCAGAATGAGCTTAAAATATCAGAACAGATATCTGAAGCAACTGAGAATCCAACTGATATACAATTGTAGGTTAAAGGACATAATTTCATAAGACAATGGTTTTAAAATTACTATTTATGGACCAACTGATTTAGAGGCATTGCAGTGCTCTTCAGCACTAGAATATCTTCATAATAAAGATGACCTAGGAAATACCTAATTTTGAATTGAAACCAGATAGAGAGGGAAAAGTGCTAAACTTGATAAGTCATTTTTCTTTTTTTTTTTTTTTCTCAATACAATCCAAGGAGCATTGCATGAGAGTCCTCAAGTGGAATAGGCATCAGAAGTCTTTCCTATCGAGTGAGGTAGAGGAGCTGGAAACTTGGAAATTAGGCAGGCTGGAAGGAAATGGGAGCCTAGGCAAGAGTCTCCACTTCAAGGAATCACAGAAAGTTCAGAGAGAATTATTAACTAACACAAAGAACCACCAGCAAGATGGAACCCAAGACTTCTAAAAGAACTTCTCATAACCAAGTTCACAATAATCTCCATGTAGTACTTACATGCCAACCCAACTGGGGCAGGCTCACATATGGACATGGTTCCTGATAGTTGTGCAATGGAATACTGAAAGATATTTTATTTTATGATACCATCTATGACTACTGTTGGAATAAATGAAAAGATTCCGAGAGTGATAGCCCTAATTACCTATGTGTATCAGTAAGACCCATCGCTTTGAATATGTGGACCCTTTTTCTTCATTTGTGTCTTTGACAGCTTTCTCAGTATATTATTCCAATCCTGAAAGGAAGAACAGGCCTCCTCTAATTCTATACAACATTCTTCATATAGGTGTAGGAGTCTGGAATAAATTTGTTAAGGTGAAAAAGCCATTGTTCTGGACTGGCTAGGTATATCCCCAAAGAATATGATAAAGGAAGTATTTCTTATGTTAATTACTATGTGATTATGTTCATAGATGAATAGAAACATAGAGAAACAAAAATAAGCATCTGAGTTTTCAGAATAATGCAACTGAATAAAGAGATATAATATCACTCTTTCCCATAAATTATCCTGCTTCCTGTTAATATCTGTACATTTTTAAATTACAACCTTATGACACAGCAAAATGGGGATAATCAAATTGTGATTAAGTATTCAAAGAACCATCACTACTTCCTCCTGAATACATGAATGTATATTATCCCCACAGTTACAGTTGTTCTTCAGGTGATCTGAATTGAACTTCTTGTTAACTGAAGAAAATAATGAGGTTCACAAATTTGGAAAGGAGAGCTTTATTTCTCACAAAGGGTTTCAGCCTGTAGGTGGCCATTCTGACAGGCTGGGAAGCAGAGCTTTGTGCAGAAGCCAGAAACACATGCTTCGAGGGATAGACAATGGAAACAGGAATTTAGGCTGAGCAGGGTGTCCAAATGTCCATATTCAACATGCTATAGAAGGAGTTATGAATGTTTATAAAGGAGAAACATGCGCATGTGCAATCAAGCTTTTTTCCTTTTTATGGGGTCCATGTTCAGAAAATGGCAGCCTTCTATATCAAAAGGTGAAGCAAAGACATGAAAATGCTCTGTTTCATACTCTATAGACTAGTTAAAACTACTTCGTGGTTGGTGGTCTCTTATAAAGAAAGAATGCTGGTTAGTCATCGTGCTGAAACCACAGATCAGTAGTAGATCATGAGATTGGTTTCTGTTTAGTCCTTAAAGAAAAAACCCTGATGGCTGTTGGCAAGGGAGGGGGTATAATGAGGCATGTCTGACTTTGCATCCTGTCATGGCTGGGACTCAGTTTTAAGGTTTCTCTAGGTTTCCCTTGGCCAAGAGGGGGTTCTGTCGGGTCATCAGGGGCCTTAGGGTTTTAGTTATTAGCTCAGTTATTAGTTCACCTTATTTTAGTTCACATGTGTTAGGTCATTAATTGAACTGCTAAAATAAACACCCCTAAGGAAAAAGTGACAAAGAATTTGCAATCTTCTCATTATTGTAAGATTGGAAACAAGGCTAGGCTCCTGGGATGACTGGGGTGGGGCATGTAGTGAAAGTCGGTTATGGCATAAATAAGAACAAATGACTGACTCAGTTGTTAATCAAAGTCAAACAATTAGTAGACAAAAGCACACAGCTGACATAAGACAGAATAAAAAGCATAGGGATTTGCATCCATTAAATTACAAGTAAAAGATTTTTTTCTCAAAAAAGCAGAGGGAATAATGCATAGGGAAACAGCTAATATTGCAATTAAGAGAACAAGGTACACTGCTACTCAAAGAACTAAGTCCGTTACAGTCCACAGAAAAAATGTAAGATGTTAGCTTGTTCTATGGGAGAATAGCTGTTCTGAAAAGATGAACACAGACTATAATCATTGTCTTCAGAGGTTGAGTCCTGATTAGACTGATCCACTCTTTCTCTGAAGGACTCCTATGGCACAACAGAATTATCTCTAGTCCCATAAAGGTGATTAGGGTAAGATCAATCTTGCCTAAAGTCTTTGGGGGCATTTCTTATTTCCTGTTATGTCCCTAGTCGTTAAAACAGAGCCTGACACACCTAATAAACACATTAAAAATATTTTTACTTAATTCACCTAGAACTCATCTATAGATTAGCAATATCTACACTGTCAAGAGTTCAAAATTGTTACATTTAGTTTAACAATGGGGCTTTTTTTCTTCTTATTTATTTATTTTTATTGAAAAATAAAAATTGTCTATATTTATGGTATACAACATGATTTTTGAATATGTATACATTGTGGAATGGCTAAGGCAATCTGATTAACATATTCATTACCTCACATGCTTGTGGTAAGAACACTGAAAATATACTTTCTTAGCAATTTTCAGGTGTACAGTACATTATTAACTATAATCCCCATGTTATACTACAGGTCTCTTGAATTTATTCTTCCTATCTAAATGAAAATTAGTCCTTTGACAAACATCTGCCCCATCCCTCCACCCCTCAGCTGCTGATAACTACTATTTTACTCTCTACATCTGTGAATTCACTATTTTTAGATTTCACATATGTGAGATCATGCCATATTTGTCATTCTGAACCTCATTCATTTCACTTAATATAATGTCCTCCAGGTAAACCCATGTTGCTGAAAATGACAAATTTCCTCATTTCTTAAGACTGAATAGTATTTTATTATGTATACATACCACATCATTTATCCAATGATGGACACTTACATTGATTCCATATCTTGCCTATTGTTAATAATGCTGCAATGAACACAGGAGTACAGATATCTCTTTGACATACTGTCTTCATTTCCTTGGGATATAGACCCAGAATTGGGATTGCTGGATCATATAGTAGTCCTATTTTTAATTTTTTGAGGAATTTCAATATAGTTTTTCACAATAGCTATACTAATTTACATTCTCACAAACACTGTGCAAGGGTTCCTTTTCCTCACATCCTTGCCAACATTTATCTTTCATGTTTTTGATGAATAGCCATCCTAACAGGTGTAAGGTGATATTTTATTCTGTTTTTAATTTGCATTTCTCTGAGGATTATAGATATTAAACACTGTTTCATGTATCTGTTGGCCATTTGTATGTCTTCTTTTAAGAAATGTCTATTCAGGTCCTTTGCCCATTTTTTAATTGGGTTTCTTATATTCTTGCTATTGAGTTGTTTGAGTTCCTTATTTATCAGATGTGTGGTTTATAAATATGTTCTCCCATTTCATAGATTGTCTCTTCACTCTGTTATTTCTTTTGCTATGTGGAAGCTTTTTAGTTTGATATAAACCCACTTGTTCTTTGTTGCCTGTACTTTTGAGCACATATCCAAAATATCATTGTGCAGATCAACAGACCTTTATTAAATAATACAGTAATCCTGTATCATATGTGCAGATGCTCCTTGACTTA